TCCTCGTTAGAGGTAGATGACTTTCCGTGATCGCACTTCTCCCATCGCTATTTGTACCGACTGACCTCAGCTGTTGGCACTTGCTTAGTTTCAGCGGGAGTTCCCATTGGACTGTCCACTCCTGGATCTTGTTCAGATCCTCTTGCAATTGTGGCATATTTGGCAGACCTACAATTTTGACGTCGTCTTCAAACAAGTAGAGCGGCGAGTGCAGACCACAGACCATATTGCTGATGTATACGAGGAACAGCATGAGACCAAGCACCGAACCTTGGTGGACCCCACTGCAAGCTTCGGCAGACTCTGATATACCGTCGTCTACTCCCACACAAAAAGTCCTGTTGTGCAAGTAGGCTCCTAACCGGAGCAACCCTGAGAGACTCCAACTTGTGTATCAGGAAGCGATGGTTTACCGAGTCGAAAGCTTTCCTGAAATTCAGGTAGCACACCTCGAGTCGCTTTCCCCTATCTAGTCGGCTCGTGACCTCATCCAAGTACCACAGCAGGTTGGTTAAGCAGGATTTACTTTGAACGAAGCCGTGCTGCTTATCGACTATTAATCTATTTCTCGTAAGGTGTTCGGCCAGTTTGTTCCTAATAACCCTTTCGAATACCTTCAACACAACCTACAGTACGATCACTGGCCGGTTATTGGTCGGCTGTTCTCTATCGCCCCCTTTGTGAATAGAGACAACTATTGCCGTCATCCAATCTCTGGGTAGCTTCGCAGTACGGAATGACCAATTGAACAGCTCCGCGAGGAGTCCCGTCACGATTGCCGCAATGGGTTTAAGGAAGGCGGGATGAATTCTATCCAGCTCTGCGGCCTTGTGCACATTTGGGTTTTGCACTATATTCCTTATTTCATCGGGTGTTACATGGAAATCATTCATTACGGGGACTGAGTTCTTCGGCATCCTACCAGACTGTTTACCGGGGTCTTGCGCGTGGACACTTTCAAAAAACCTATGCGTTTCCTCTGTCTTCTCGCCATTGGTCAGGGCGTGTTGGCCCCGAGCGTTCCTTATGCATCCTAACGCTACTCTGGTAGCTGCATTGGACTGTACATAGCTATAGTATGCTTTCGGGCAGTGTGCTTCGACAATAGAGAATCCGTTGCGAGCCGATTTTGGGCACCCCGAAGCCGACTTGGGCAACTTTTCGGTCCAGTCGCTACTTCTGTTGCTGATATTGTAGAAGTCTGAAGAGGAATGCCTGCAGAAGAAGAAAAGAGAAAGAATGCCTACAGTCTACGTATGCACATAGCTGAGCGGATTAGTGAGACGAGGTAATGCTACACCCTAACAGGTTTTCTAATTTTGCAGGTAGTTGGATATACCAGGAATGGTGCAAAATACGCCTGTGGAGAAGATATGAGAGTAGGCATTAGGTGAGGTAAAGTGGATGGTATGGTATGTGAAAGCATTTCAAGGGGTCCTTGTTCAGCAGATTAGCGTTAAACTTTGGTCTATCGTCCCAGTTTCACGAGTGCTATTCCATTCACTAGACTCCTGTGTTCACCTTTTAGCACATACATTAAGATATGCTCATGAGCTGATAGCATCCAGGTTGCCGGGGCACTTCATATGGTGGTGGTTCACAACAGGTTCCTTTTTGGCTATTGAGCCACCTAAGTCTGTCTACAGCGCAGTAGCATCGCTGACCCTATCAGGTTCCCAGAGAAAAACGTACCAGCTGCAGTCCATCCAGGGCCCAGCCTAGACCAGGTTTAGGAGGATGGTGGTGGTCGGTATGGTGCCCCTCTGTTCCCTGACCTACCAGTTCGAGCTGCAATCCGTTATTGGCCAAAACAGGTGTGCCTTTTTTCATCCCATTTAAACCTCTACCCATCGCCTCTTATTTTTATCACTCTCTTTCCCCCTTCAGGTCCATATTGGGTACAGGTTCGGTTCTCTGTTGGAGTAGTGGATGCCTCGGTGAATCGTAATTGGGTATGTTGACCCCAACTCCGCTCACTACAGATCTTCTACCACCCACCTCTCGAGTTCCGGGGGAGTGGTCAAAGGGGCAGGATTGTCGCTCAATCGGGTCAGGTTGCACAGAACTGATAATGGCCACGACCAATCGAAGGTCAAGATTTCTTCCGGAAGTATGCTCACAAAGTGTGTACGTAGCCTTGCGTATTGCCTTCAGTACGGCGTCCATGCTGAGAAGGAAAGGAAAATCTCATCTCCTTTCACCTCATCGGCGAACAAGGGACAAGGGTCATGAAGG